ATGTAAACTTTATTACCTTTCTTACTAACAAGAAACTTTTACTAATGTATGTATAATAAGCTATAGAACTTGCTTAGTTTAACTTTGTTATTAAACATGTAGCAGGAAACAGCAACTAGCAAGCTAACACCTTAAGTAGGCGCGCAGACTATTTTAAGGCTAATAAATAAGATTTAGAAGAATTTATAATCTTTAAGAAAACTTATAAAGGGCTAGTTTATAGAGGACTAAACCTAGAATAAATACTGTGTTCCCTTACAGTAGTTAAACAAAGATAAAAAAACCTTATATAAGAATACTACAAAGCTCTAATGTTTAGCTATCTAGGAATTAGGTCTTTACAGAAAAAGATTAAGATTACTATACTCTATAAGATACCTTAATTAAAACACTTATGTACTAAAGTCTTACAAGAATGTAACACCTATAATAAAAACAATCCTTAATGCTACAAACCTTACAGATTCCTCTAACTAATAACAGCCTCTAGTTAACTATAGACTATAATAACTATAGATTTTATTACAAGACTACTACTATCACAAGAACCTAGCACTAAAAGACTATGCAACATAATTGCATAAGTTATTAACAAGACTACTAAATTTGTCTATCTATAGCTATTAGAAAAAAGCATTACAGCTAAAGAATTTATGTTTAAATTAAAAAAAAACGTTTTTGCTACTTATAGATACTTTAAGACTATTATTTCTAACTAAGACAAACTATTTACTAGCAAATTCTAGGTAGCTTTAGTTAAGCACTTTATAATTAATTATAGACTATCTACTGCTTACTACCTATAAACAGACAGACAAACAGAAAGAGTAAACGCTAAAGTTAAGAAACTCCTGCAAAAATACATTTTATATAAATAAACAAATTAAGTAAAATAGCTGCTAATAGCATAATTTGTTATTAATACCTCTAAATTAGCAACAACTAAGGAAACGCTATACAAAGCTAATTTTAGATACACCCCACAATATTAGCCCTATAGCTCGCAACTAACTAACCCTTTAAAGGCAATAGACAGAACAGCTAAGCTTTTAGAACTACACTAGAAACTTACTAGAGAAGCCCTACTAGCTAAAGAAGCTATAGAAAAAGCTGTAAACTAAAAAAAAAAATTAGCGCTAAACATACACCTAAATAATTATGTATACCTAGACATAAAAGATCTTAAGACACTGCAACTTTCTTAAAAGTTAGCAGAAAAACATATAAGACTATATAAAGTAATACAGACACGCTCTAGTATCTGCAAGCTTAAACTTCTAAAAAAGATAAAAATACACCTCTAGTTCTACATTTTTAAGCTTAAACTTGCCCTAAAGACTATTCTACTTACAACTACTAGATAGAAGGAAGAAGAAAAAGAATATAAAGTAAAAAGAATTTTAGACTATAAAAAAAGTAAGTATTTAGTAAAATAGAAAAAATAGCTTACTAGTAAAAACATATAAAAACTTGTTAAGAGCCTATTAAATGCTCCTTAGGTTCTTTGCAAATACCTAGAATCCCTTTTAAACAAAACTACCCTAGAGAAAGCTCTCTAGACTAGAACGCACTGTTATTAGTTAAAACTGCAGCAGTAGTAGCTAGCTGCAATGTAGAAATCCCCTACCCCTTTAACATAGGCTAAGGAGGAGAAAGACCTGCTGCTTTTGCCTTAAGCGCTTTAAGCTTATCTAGTAATAAAAAGTCTTTTTTTAAATACTTTGCTCTTTAATCTTCTAACACTTTTAATTATTTCTAAACTTGTTCCTGCTAAGCTATAAAAGACTAAAGACGCCTTAAGAACTTAGTTTACTTCTACATCTCTCTTTCTTTTTCTTTTATCTCCTTCTTCTCTGCTGTCTCTAGTTCCCTACGCAACTTCTTCTCTGCACGCTCTAAGCAATTCTAGGCTGTGTTAGAAATAAAAGTGTTGCAATAACTACCCTTTCTTACACACTCTACGCATTTGTCTAATAATAAGGACATTACACAAGACAAACTATGCAACTAGTAAGAACTACAAGGACGCATTTTTGTACAACAATAAGGATTAAGACAAGTAACTGTACAAAGGCGACAAGCAACAGCAGAAGTATAAGAAACCTAACAAGGCATAGTTAAAACAGATAGACATAAGACTAGCCTTTAAAAAAGAAAACGCACTAGCTAAAAAGAAAATCTAATGCTTATAACAAAAAAAACATAACAGTAAGGACGCTAACTAGAAAAAAAGCCTGTGTGTTATAGCTAATAGTTAGACTATAATAACCTAATTAGCTGTTCCCCACAGCCTAAACAACGTTAGATAGAAGACGCTTAGCCCTGCGCTGTGCGAATTATGTGACAAGACAGATAAGGAATAGCTCTAGCTTTTAGATAAAAGCCTTGCAGAATGCACTGTCTAATAGGGACTTAAGCATTGCAGGCAATACAGGCATTGCAGGCAGATGCAGGCAGTGCATGCAACGCATGCATTGCACGCAAATGCATGTAAACCCTATGTATATAGATCTAATCACAACTATGTTTAAGAGGTTGTAATTACTGTTTAGTTTATTATTAGAACTACCCCCCTATATCCTCTTTTAAACTAAGAAGCTGTGACTCTCTTAAGCACAGCTGCCTTATATATCTTGCACTATATATACCTCCACTCCTATCCCTACAGATTAGGTTTACCAGCTCCTATACAGCTGCTAGGTTAAACCACAAGCCTGCCTATCTTTTATTCTGCAATACCCTACACTCTGCTTAACAGACTGTACACCTAATTAAGCTAAGTCCTACTCTCCTTGTTAACATTCCCTTATAGGCCGTCGTACTCTGAAAATACCATTTCATCAGAGTAAGGATTGTAACAGTACGTTACATGTTATTATTCTAGATACTATACTTAGCTTTAATATTCTTTATAAAGTTAAACTGTAAGGCCGGATGTCCTAGAACGGGCTAGTATGGCCTCACCTGACCTGTTTGGAGGTTGTATGACCTGTGCTTCGTATATAAGCATGAATCCTGACAAGCGAAGCTTGGCAGCGATTCGTCTCTCTTACAATACACTCCTATCTTTCTCCAAAAGCTTGCTCTCAGTGCTATCCGTGCTACTTACCATCCTATCTTTACATAAACTAGCTTTAAATTACTATAAAATTTTTATAAAAAGCTTTTTTATAGTTATACTTGCGCTTAAACTTTACTTTAAGCTTTAAGTAACACTTAATAAACATATTAAGCTAGTTTATGCTAATATAGCTTATATTATGCTTAGCGTGTAAAAAATTAGCTATATTAGCCACAGCTACTAGCTAAGAGGGAAATTCTTACATATCTAGCTTAAGTATGTGCTAAATAATTACCTACTTTTTATTATTATTTAGCTTTTATAAGTTAGCTATATAATTAGCTTAGAAAGGTTATTTAGTATGTTAGTTACTTATTATTTTTTAAAAGACTTTAACATACTTAACAGGCAAGTTGCTTACACACTTAAGTTGCTTACTTTTACTAAGACCTTACTAAACTACTCTTTTTACACTAATGCATTCTCTATAACACTACTTAAATATGCTAAAAGAATGTTAGATATAGCTTACACTTTAAGCTTTTAAATAAAACATAAAACTTTTAAAAAAATATACTATAGCTATATATAAAGTTTTATAAAAAAATAATAAATAACTATAGCACTAAATAACCTTTATAAGCTAATTTTATAGCTAAATTATAAAGGCTAAGTAATAAAAAAAAGTAGGTAATTATTAAGACTATACTTAAGCTATATGCGTAAGAAATTTCCTTTTAGATAGCATTTATAGCTAATATAGCTAATTTTTTATATGCTAAGTGTAATCTAGGCTATGTTTATATAAACTAGCTTAGTATATTTATAAAGTGTTATTTAAAGCTTAAAGTAACATTTAAGTATAAATATAACTATAAAAAAGCTTTTTATAAAAGTTTTAAAGTAATTTAAAGTAAGTTTAGCTTTATAAAGAATATTAAAGCTAAGTATAGTATTTAGAATAATAATATATATAACTTTAGTAAAATAAAGTTTATAATTAGCTAAATATTTTTTAACTATACTTATGCTTAAAACTTTACTTTAAGCTTTAAATAACACTTTATAAACATACTAAGCTAGTGTATATAAATATAGCCTAGATTATACTTAGTGTATAAAGAATTAGCTATATTAGCTATAAATACTATCTAAAAGAAAAAATTTTATATATATAGCTTAAGTATAGTCTTAATAATTACCTACTTTTTTTTATTACTTAGCTTTTATAATTTAGCTATAAAATTAGCTTATAAAAGTTATTTAGTGCTATAGTTATTTATTATTTTTTATAAAACTTTATATATAGCTATAGTATATTTTTTTAAAAGTTTTATGTTTTATTTAAAAGCTTAAAGTATAAGCTATATCTAACATTTTTTTAGCACATTTAAGTAGTGTTATAAAGAATGCATTAGTATAAGAAAAGTAGTTTAGTAGGGTCTTAGTAAAAGTAAGCAACTTAAGTGTGTAAGCAACTTGCCTGTTAAGTACATTATAGATAGCTACAGCATGTTACTTAAAAAGTATTATGTTTTATTTAAAAGCCTAGAGTGTAAGCTATATCTAACATTTTTTAACATGTTTAAGTAGTATTATTAGGAATGCATTAGTGTAAAAAAAGTAGTGTAGTAGGGTCTTAGTAAAAGTAAGTAACTTAGGTGTGTAAGCAACTCGCCTGTAAAGTACGTTAATATAGTAAGTATTATAAATTGCAAATTTCTAGTGGCAAATTAATTTAGGAGCTAAAACAATATTGCTATATTAAATTATTGTTATATCGCGCATCGCGCCATCCAGAGTTGACTGTAAACCGTCCTGGCCCTGTCAGAGCCCCCACGTATACCTGTGGCTGTCTGTGGCTGGGTTGGCGGACGCCAAGACCCTTGCTGGCTCCCTCGGCTGGCTGACCAGCCCTCAGCCGCGTTGACACGCAGCACAGCAGCGAAGAGCATCACCTCCGCCGTCGTAGAGTGTCTTGCACGACGCGCGAAATCCAGACATAAGTTACTATGAACACCTCGAACCTAAACTTTCTTACTCCTTCGGAGCTCGATGACGAGGTTGATGATGCTGAGCTCCCTCTGGGACACATGGGCCTACTCATGCAAGCTTTCCTCATGTCCTGACTACGGCAAGCCCTGGCAGCTGCGAAGCAACTTCCTCACCCATTTGCAGGAGCGAAAGGCACATGGGCCCACTGCCACAACACCTGCCGCACGCCGTGCGATCGAGATAGAGTGGCGTTACACCACCGATCCATATCTGCCACCTCGGGCGCCTCCAGATTTTCGTTCCCGAGAGGATCCTGAGGAGCAAGTCTGTGACTACAGCTCTAAGGATGACACCGGCAAGGTGATAACGGGCAGGGGCACATTAGAGGAAATGGAAATGCACAAAGCGTTACGATGCCACCAAGCGGAAGGAACGGATGTCGCGTAGCTTCGTTCACAATGCTTCAATGCACAGGTGACAAGGAAGCTATACCATTACTAGACGGAGCCTATGTGCCAGTTCCAAAAGGTGCGGTGAAGACTGCACACATGTGTAGAGCAGTTCAGCCATTTCGGAGAGCTGTTGCAAGCGTACAGACAAAGGTGACAAGCCCTGCGATAGACTACCTGTAGCGCTGAAAATCCTTACGCAAGACCAGCGCCACCAGGCTCTGTCACATAACTATACACTTGGATTTGGCCTTCTCGGCAGAAAACGTCTCCCGCGCTTCTTGTGTGTGTTTCCGACATGCGCCTCTCTGTTCTCCCTCTTCCATGATGACGATAGTGGTGTTGCTTCCACATATGCCTATCCACTCCTCGTCTTTGACTACGTATGAGTAGCTAGTTTATATTAACAGTCCCTGGCCTTCGAGAAGAATCGCGCCGCGGAGGAGAAATATCTGACAGTCGCGGAGACATGGCATACTAACCCGGACACCACAGAAAGAGATTGGCGCATGTGCTCCGTTCGATCCGCCTGAATAGTGTACCTCATCCGAATCTGACCTGCCATACTCCTCATCATCAGCATTTCCCAGCATAAGGAGTGAGCCTTCTGATTTACCTCAGCCATTACCGCCCCTATGACCTGCTTCGTGTTTTCAGGCTCGTTTGTACACTAACGTACCGAAGAGTCGGAATGCTCTGGGGTATGAGAAACTTGTAGCTCAGCAGCTACTAGGCAGGGTAATAAAAACCCTCCTCTGCCCCTCCCCCTCCTTCTGCACATCTAGATATAAGTTAATTCTTAATGACAATAGCGACAAGCTTACGCCCATACAGACTGCAATTAAGTCCTCCCGCCAGACTAGTAGTAAGAAGTGGTGTCTTTTACAACTTCAAGTTCTACTAACCATTATTAAGCGATTGCTACAGTGTTATAAGGAAATTCACGCATTGTGCACGCATACTTTCTAACAAGCGAGCCAGATCAAGCGCTTAACTTAACTAGCTTAAAGCTTAATTATTCTCTTAAGTTAAGCTGCCTTATAGTAATTAATAAGCTAAGTTAAGCTAAGAAAGAAGCTAGCTTAAGCTAAGAAAGAAGCTAGCTTAAGTAGCTTAGTAACTTAGTTAGCTTAAGTAGAGAAGAAGGCAGCAGTATCTACTAGTAAAGCTGTTGTAACGATCCTCATGAATCGTTCCATCTCGGATGGCCCGGAAGGCCCCTGTATCGGCCCCGACCCCAACCTGGCCCTGACCCCTGCTGTTACCCCTATTCCCTCATGTATTTAGCACCTTGCCCCTGTAGCTAGCTTAGTAGTTTTCTAATATCCTTTTATACAAGGCCTATAGGTGTTAATAGCATTCCTAAGTTCTAAGTCCCTATGCACTCTTATATGCCTCTAAGTGGATTCCTACTGCATTTAGACCTATTGTCTTGCCTGTGCTGTTACATTATATTAGAAAACTTACTTTTGCTAGTAACAGCCTTATTTATTGTAAAAAACAGGGTATACACTTCGCAATCAAGAGGTGTATTAACCAACAAGGGCGTGACTGTGACATAGGAGTACGATTAGTACCTGCCTAATTTCTAAGGCGATCCTCTGCTATCTAAAGAGGGCTTCTACAACTGGCTATATACTTCTCTAGAGAGCCAGGCACGGCAGCGCTGGTAGCGACAGATCTAGTATGCTGTAGGTCCAGTTCAAAGTATTACCTGTCTAGGATGCCTGGCTTTTTAGGCGAGGTAGGCATTGTCTGGGAAGTGCGGGGTTGACGGCACGGTTCGGGAGTCGTCCGGGACTGCCTAGTGCAGTCTAGGCCAGTCTATGACAGCCTAGGAAACACCTGGATAGCCGGTCGTTACATTAATAATATTACACTAATTATTTATTTAACTATGTCTAAGCTCTAAGACATATTTAATTTAGTTTAGGTTATAATACTTACACACTATTATATTAAACTATTTAGTCTATAGACTAGATCCTATTAACCTTTAGTTAACTAAAGCCTTTAGGTTTAGAACTTCTTATCCCCTGTAATTAAGATTGCCTTTAGAAAAGTTATAAAAAATGCGCTAAGGTAGAAACTTAAAGACTACTAATAACTTATTAAGATTAGAGATAACTGCTAATGCTTAACTTTTAACTACTAACTTTTAACTACTAACTTTTAACTACTAACTACTACTTTGTTAACAGCTAAACCTGCGTCTACAGGACCTAAAGCTAGACCCACCTAATTTAGAGTTAACCTTTAGTAGTATATCTATGCTTAATTATAAGCATTGTAACGGCACAGGCAAGACAATGGGTCCGAATGCGGTGGGAATCCACTCAGAGGCATATGGGAGTGCGTGGGGACTCTAAACCTGGGAATGCCATTAACACCTATAGGCCTTGTACAAAAGGATATCAGAAAACTACTAAGCTAGCTACAGGGGCGAGGTGCGACTAAATACATGGGGGAATAGGGGTACAGCAGGGGGCAGGGCAGAGTCGGGGCCAATACGGGGACCCTTCGGATAGGTTCCGGGCGACCCGAGATGGATACGATTCATGAGAATCGAGTCAGGGTCGGAGCCGATACGGGGACCCTTCGGATAGGTTCCGGGCGACCCGAGATGGAACGATTCATGAGAATCGTTACAAGCATAGCTTAAGCAGCTAATCTACTAAAACACTGCTAGGTAACCACTAAATTACCTCTAATAATGCCTTAAATTACCCCTACTACTCTAATAGCAAAAGACCTTTAAGGCACTTTTAATAATACCTAAATGTTACCTTACTAAACGCACGCCTAAGATTAATAACCTGCATAGATACTAATAAACAAAGGTCTTAATTATTAACAGGCTAGACATCTATAGATTACTATTAGAGTAGGCGCGTACGCATAGCGTTTAGTTTAGAGGACTCTGCTAGCAGTGCGAAGGAATACTTAGTAAGAACACCTAGCTAAATTAGACTAGTTTTAGTTTAAGAAGGTAGAGGACATAATAGTAATACTTTATACTATAATTACTACTAATAGGGACTATTAGTCTACAGAGGGGGGGGGTAGTGTAATAATCCTTATAAATTGTTCTATCTTAGATAGCCTAGAAGGCTCCTGTATCAGCCCTAACCCTAACCTAGCCCTAACCTCTGCTGTTACCTCTATTCCCTTATGTATTTAGTTGCACCTTGCCCCTGTAGCTAGCTTAGTAGTTTTCTAATATCCTTTTGTACAAGGCCTGTAGGTGTTAATAGCATTCCTAGGTTCTGAGTCCCCATGCACTCCCATATGCCTCTGAGTGGATTCCCACCGCATTCGGACCCATTGTCTTGCCTGTGCCGTTACATTTGCTAGTTTTGCAGTAGAAGTAATCTTATAATAGTTTTTTAGTGTTACAAATATAGCTTAGTAAGCAATCTGTGCAACTGTACGCTGTGCTTAGCACGCTTTATCCTATATTTTCTGCTACTGCTAGCCTTGTATACTTGTCAGATTGAAGCACTGTTTCTGGGCTTCCTGAGATGAATGATGGGTTTGGATGTGATGTATGGGATAATTGATTGATTGTGTTGATTGTCGTTGATTTATCAATCCTTTTTCTGCTCTACTCGTGTTGCTCGGCTTTTTGTTTTGCCGATCCGAGTCCCTCGCGCACTTGCCCTATGCGCGACCAGCTTGCAAAATGCTGCAATTTGCTGCAATTTGCTGCAATTTGCTGCAATTTGCTGCAAACTGCTGCAACATGCTGCAATTTGCTGCAATTTGCTGCAAACTGCTGCAATTTACTGTTCAAGCTTATTGCTCGTACTATGTAGCAGCTTTCGTCAAGCGTTCCTCCTGTCTTGACAGTAGGTGCGCAAATCTGACACACCCCCTCAGCTTGGACATGCTTCAAGCTGGTTCCCGATTGCGCAACCTTAGTATGCTTCCAGGGCTTCCATTCTTGCTTCAATCTCTTCCATATCCGCTTCCTGACTGACTATCCTCTCCCTGACGTCAACTAGCCGAATTTGCTGAAGAAAGCTTGGCCATTTGCTGACTAGAAGCGCTTTAGTGAGTCCGTCTGCAAGCATCTTGCTAGAGGGGACATAGACAACCTTGATTGTTTGTTGAGAGACTTCCTGTCAGAGCCAGTGGTTATGGATGTTAACATGTTAGAGCTTAGTTTAAAGTTAAGATATCTCTTTGTTTACTAGTTAGATTGTCTGCTTGTTGTTGCACTAGATTATAATAGTTAAATTAGGCAGCTTAACCTGCAGTTTGTTAAGGAGCATTCTTATAAACATAGCTTCCTTAGCAACTTAGAACAGTGCAAGTAATTCTGCTTCTATTATTAATGTTATAACTGTATCTTATTTATTTACTTGCTATGCAATCTATCTGCTAAATAGTTAAATAACATAGCCCTAAAAGCTTTTTTTATCTAGTGTATTATTTATAAATAACATATTGCTTACTACTATAAGGTAGTCTTCTTCTCCTAATTAGAGTGCGTACGTCTGTGTCGCATGTAGGTACAGGATGACTTAATTAGCTGCATCCTAATAGTTAGATGCAGGATTCATAAGAAACTGTGCAAGGCGTGATGTAGTAAAGGCAATGTCTAGTCTTGTAGTAACTACTGCAAAGAGCAGAGATCTAATCTTTTGCTAATATTAATTTACCTCTAATAAGGTTGCAAAACTAGATTATAGCATAAGTTTAATCCTACTTATAGGTGTAGCATGCTGCAGGTCCTTTCTGTTAGCTAGCCTAGCTATCTTGTTAATATATAAGGCCTATAATAGCTAAATTATTTATTACTATTAATCTTTAATAATCTTAACTTCTAGGAACTATTATAGGTCCTTACCTCTTATTAGAGTATACTTCTCTTGTAACTAGTCTACTACACGCTGTGCATCTGCTTTAGAGCCTTTTTTATACACAATAATAAGGTTATTTATGTAGAAAAAGACAAATATTTTAGCTTTAGTTATATAGTAGAGTTTATATAAGACAGCTAAAAACCTAAGGCCTTTAAAAGTTATTATAAAATAGTGTTACTAAAGTAAAGAAGAAATTTATAAGCTATATAGTGCTTTTTAAAGCTTTAGTATTATACCTAGTTTCTAATAGCCTCTTAGCATCTGCATGTAGATATTGTAGTTAATTGCTACATGTATAAACATGTTAGTTATGTTGTATTATTTAAGCTCTAAGTTAAAGTGTGCAGATATTACTATTAGCATTTAAAATAAGTGTCCTGCTAGGGT